TACTCAAGCTGTCGTGTTCACAGACACACAGACATAGAGACAGAATTGTAAAGCCCAGTTTTTTCGGACACTCACATAGATACATACACACATAGATATACGGACACAATTGCAAAACTATGTTTATAGCTGGGGTCTATGTGTCCCACAGCTATGCAGTTGGAGGGTTTACACTACCATTATATTCTGTATAGTCATTCAGTAGTTCATACTAAAGCACGACGATATTAACGCATACAAACGATTCGACAGGACGACATTATTTAACTTTACTCTTTATTGCACAAAAATAAACCGGGAGTGATCTTCCCTAAACTTTCTCGAATATTCTAATATAACACTACGGGGGATGGCAACTCAGGACATAGACAATATTTGTAATCCATTTTTAATTACTTAAACTTTTTATAATAGAATAGAATCTCGTAAAAAAAAGAATTGCACACCAAGTGAACGCCAAATAAAATGTGCATAATAGTGAGGAATATTAGTAGTACTATATAAATTCACGTGCGTTTTCAGAAATAGCGTAAATTACTACTTCCGGTTGACGGAAATTACTCAACATTTGATAGAAGGCAGAGAATCAGATCGTTTACTTACATGTGAAATTTCATTTATCTATCTGAAATAGTACTCAAGTTATAGGCTTTTGAAAAATTGAAAGTAGAAAAAGTTCCACTTTCGGTTATCGAAAATCGCTCAAAAGTTGATACGGATCTATGATTTTGATATAATACTTATATAACAAATTTCATCAACCTAGCTGTAACGGTACTCAAGTCAGTGGCGTAGCGAGGTCGGGTGTCACCCGGTGCGGCACTTAATGGTGTCACCCCCCCCACCCCCAGAGGCATAGAGACCCTTCCCAGGGACAAACTTTAAAATTTTTGATTTGCACCCCCCCCTCAAACTTTTGATTTGCACCCCCCCTCAAGTTTTCGATTTGTACCCCCCCCCTCAAACTTTCGATTTGCACCCCCCCCCTCGAGTTTTTCTCTATATATTTTGCTATTTTTTGCCTTGGTGTCACCCCCCCTAAATGGTGTCACCCGGTGCGGTCCGCACCCCCCCGCACCCCCCTCGCTACGCCCCTGACTCAAGTTATAGTGTTTACACACACACACACACACACACACATACACACACACACAGAGATACACATACACACAGACCAGTGGCGTAGCTAGGATTTTTGGGCCCCTATGCAAAAATTATAAGTGGGCCCCTTCGTCCACGATTTATTTTGGGTCAGTTGGTTGATAGTCCATTAAAGGGGTGGGTGTGCAAACTGTATCACTATATCCTCTGCAAACCTGAACAGAACACCCCGGGCAATCCAATAGCACGTTGAAATCGATATTTGTTTTAAAAAGCGTCCTAAACGAGGTATTACAATCTACCTTACTAAACCGAAACAGGGTGACGGCCGGGGTAACCAGCAGTGCGGCTGGTGGCTCCCACGAGAGCCCTGCGACACTCCTTACACTTGGGTGGTCGACGTGGGGTGTATTATTAGTTTTGCGAAGGGTGATTAACGTCACTGAAGGTTTTTCTTTTCTTCTGCAATATGCATCGATAGCGAAAGATGTGAACAAATAATTAGATAACACATCAAAAATACATTAATGGTAACACAAAATATATTTTCCTTCCCTTCTTCACTGTAACTCTTAGCACAAAATGTATCAATAGTATTTTTACCCCTCCCCTGTTATTATCTGACGGATGTCATTGACGCAATTAGATTAATTACCATTTACGATGGGTTTTTTTGTGGTTGGCCCAGAATTGAGTGATAACACTTAGTAAACAAAACAGTCATCGTCAACGGGTTTCCCCTAAAACGGAAATGTAATAATATATAAAAATTTTACTTACAGCCTACTAACTAGACTGAATGTCACAAGTTTATTTGACGGATGTATGTATGTATGTATGTATGTATGTATGTATGTATGTATGTATGTATGTATGTATGTATGCATGCATGTATGTATGTATGCATGCATGCATGCATGCATGTATGCATGTATGTATGCATGTATGTATGTATGTATGTATGTATGTATGTATGTATGTATGTATGTATGTATGTATGTATGTATGTATGTATGTATGTATGTATGTATGTATGTATGTATGTATGTATGTATGTATGTATGTATGTATGTATGTATGTATGTATGTATGTATGTATGTATGTATGTATGTATGTATGTATGTATGTATGTATGTATGTATGTATGTATGTATGTATGTATGTATGTATGTATGTATGTATGTAGACGTAGACGTAGACGTAGACGTAGACGTAGACGTAGACGTAGACGTAGACGTAGACGTAGACGTAGACGTAGGTGTAGACGTAGGCGTAGGTGTAGGTGTAGGTGTAGGTGTAGGTGTAGGTGTAGGTGTAGGTGTAGGTGTAGGTGTAGGTGTAGGTGTAGGTGTAGGTGAGGTGTAGGTGTGGGTGTGGGTGTGTGTGTGGGTGTATGTGTAAGTGTAGGTTAAGGTCAAGGTCAAGGTGGAGAAGAAGATGCACTTGTACATATAGAATCTTTATAGATGATATATAGGGATAGATTATATAGATAGCGAAAGGTGGTGGTAAAATTCACAGGGGCATGTAAGTGCCCTACAGCTATAATTTGATCACTTAATTAAAATTGGACGCTCTTACTAAGTTATGCTGACGGTCAAATACACACACACACATACACACACACACACACATATATATATATATATATATATATATATATATATATATATATATATATATATATATATATATATATATATATATATATATATATATATATATATATATATATATATATATCTATAATATAAGCGGGCTGAGCGTGTGTCAGTCCTTCCTTCCTTCTGTCATCGCTATAGCTTTTGGAACCATAAAAGTAAACATTCGCACCATGCAGTGCTTTTCAGTGCACCGCAGTGTCTTATTATAAGTAATAGAGTAGGGTTTGTTTATATAGCGGCATAGAGCTATTTTATAATTGCCACGGTTTTTACTCTTTCGCATAACGTCAAGAAAATATTAAATACACGCAAACTGCTAAAACGTATTAAAAAGATTAATGTCAAATATCATTTTCGTTTAGGTTCCCAGAAAAAGTGGATACATTTCCATAAAAGTAGGTCGAAAAAACTAATTAATTCAACTTTTTTTTGTGGTAATTTTTTCAAGGGAGGTAATTTGAAAAATATATTTAACTCAACAATAATTTTAAGTTAATCTTTTTTTTTATTACTACCGCATTGATTAGTCTATGTTAAGGTTCATAATTAAAAGAGAAAAATGTTAAGATTATTTATACTATTTTCTAATTAGTCTATCATTTCTCAAAATCACTATTTTTTGTTTTTGTTTTTTGGTGTTAACAGATGGTGAAATTTTATAATTATAGTATAGAGAATGCTGGAAAGACTCTCTCTAGGCGCGGACGCCTGGTAAAAGCGTGTTTTTCGGTGGTAATTCTAATTACATTGCCAATGTGTTTTCTTAGAACCATAAAAGTAAACACCACTTGCCGTACATTCATTTGCATCGCATTGTTTTATTGTAAGTTATGGAGTAGGATCTATTTATGTGACTTAAATTTTTAATGTTGGAAAGGCTGTCTTTGGGCGCGGACGCCTAAAAAAGCGTGTTGTTTGGTGGTGATTCTAATGTTGTGGTTGTGTTGTTGTTTTTTTTGGTTGTGTTGTGGTTGTGTTGTGGTTGTTTTTTGGTTGTGTTGTGGTTGTTTTTTGGTTGTGTTGTGGTTGTGTTGTGGTTGATTTTTGGTTGTGTTGTGGTTGTTTTGTGGTTGCGTTGTGGCTGTGTTGTGGTTGTGTTTTTGTTGTGGTTGTGTTGTAGTTGTGGTTGTGGTTGTGTTGTGGTTGTGTTGTGGTTGTGTTGTGGCTGTGTTGTGGTTGTGTTGAAGTTGTGGTTGTGTTGTAGTTTTGTTGTGGTTGTGTTGTGGTTGTGTTGTGGTTGTATTGTGGTTGTGTTGTAGTTTTGTTGTGGTTGTGTTGTGGTTGTGTTGTGGTTTTGTTGTGGTTGTGTTGTGGTTGTGTTGTGGTTGTGTTGTGGTTGTGTTGTGGTTGTGTTGTGGTTGTGTTGTGGTTGTGTTGTGATTGTGTTGTGTTTGTGGTTGTGTTTTTTGTGTTTGTGTTGTTTTTGTTTTGTTTTGTTCTTTTCCAAAGTTGGTACATTTAAAAAAGATTTACCGTGGCGGAGCACGGGATGCAGCTAGTATATATATATATGCGCTTATATATTACCTTCCCACCCCCCCCCCCCCCTCCAGTGTTTCTTCCAGACTTTTTTCTCCGGGTGGGCATTGAAATTTTCGGGGGGGGGGGGGGGCGGTAGACTTTCTTCGGGGGGGGGGCGGACACTGTTAAAAGTATATATTTTCTATATAATTTATATAAATTTCATTTCGTTGGGGGGGGGGGGCGGTAGAAATTTTTCGGGGGTGGGGGGGGGGGGGGGGGCAAAGCACCCCCCTTCCCGAAAAGATGCCTGGAAGAAACTCTGCCCCCCCTCTCCTTACGCCCCAACAAAAAAGCATACACAGGCCACGGGTATAATAACACGTGTATTTAACATTTCAGCTAATTATTAATAAGTACGGTGTCTGTGATTGGAAAAAGCAAATATGACGAATGTGTTTAGGAAATTAGCTATTGTTTAAAGGAAATTATGCTTATATTTATGTAAAAATACACTGATTAATAAATAAAAATTTTATGTTTTTACTAAAAACATCGCGATTACACTACAGTTGACGTATCTATTTATTCTTTTTTTGTCCTAAGACTGGCTTTCCCTATAGATGAAAATAGAATGGGGTTTTTCTTTGCTGGGGATTTACCACAGCACGTGTCATTTCATTTGGCTCAACTGTACGCTAGTGTTAAACGTCCTGAAATTAAGTGTATACGGTGAAGATATCAAAGCTTATAAATAGAAAAGCATTCGTGTAGGACAAGACAGTTTCATGTTATTCTCCGCGCGGCGTTGTGTGAGAACATTATCTGGGTCATTCTGCAGAACTAGGTTGACCTTTTTATTATATAGTAGCATGAAATTTTTAACGAAACCACTCACTAGCGCACTTCATTTTGTTATTAAAGCTTTTGAAAGCAAATGGTTAAAATAACGAATACAGAATCTTTTGACCAATTATCGATTCTATAGGTGATATGCTGTAATAGCCAGTTGAAACGTTTGAGTAACGTTTGTACCAGAGAGTGATTGCATCTACTCGATAACTTCGCGTGTAAGTTACTGAGGTAAGGAAACAAACGTTTTTATAACAAGCTTTTATACAATTCTGCAATAAAAAGTAGGAAATTATTGTCATTAAATATATAATAATGAACCATTATTTAAAAATCTATGAAGAAAAGTGTGGGTCTTAAATTTTAATAAAGGTACTCAATAGATATATAGTGACCCACGTTTTCTTTATAGTTATTTAAATTGTTGAGCATTATTATATATTTAAAGAAAATCATATATTTTCTTCCTTTTAGTGCATAATTAAAGAAAAGATTGTTATTAAAACGTTTTATAATATTAATGTTTACTTTCTCAAATTCAGAGTATAGAGGAATTTCGATGTTGAATAATTAACATATATTGTGACGGTTTTCGCCGTTTTACACCACCCTCCTTAATAAAATACTGAATATAAATGGTGTATTATATCGTGAGAAAAATGTAAATCGAGATTTTGACAGATTTGACTCGTGTGTGCGTGCGTGCGTTTGTGTATGTGTGTGTGTTTGTGTGTGTATGTGACTTAATTAGATAATGAATTAACTTTTAAAAATTATTGAATGTTTCATTTATAATGTACTCATTTAAGCTTTATGTTGCACATAGTGTTTGCATTTATTTTGGTGAAAAATCCTTTTTACAAGCTTTTATTTAACTCACTTCCTCTGTCGTCAGTCAGTCTAAAAAAAAATCATAAAAAAACGTTTTAATAACAAGCTTTTATGTCACTTTAGTATCTATTGGATACCTTTACTAATGTTAAGGAAGACACCAGTAGCGTACGCAGGGGGGAGCAGGGGGAGCGGCCGCTCCCCCTCGGGGCATTTTCAGCAAAGTGACGCCTTTTTGGAAACTTCATAAACTCAAAGTTTTAAACAATGATATTTGTTTAAAAATATTTTTGGTCGGCACATCTATGTAAATCACAAGATTTCTTTTCATGCAGCAATTAAGCATTATTGTACTAGTCTAATAGTGTCTACGTTTACAACACTATTAACAGCTGCATCAGTTTGCCATTCTAAAAATAACCATTACGATGCATTGCAATGTTTAAAAAACCTCTACGGGTAGTACCACTTGGCAAGAGGGGTGTTAAGTTTAAGGCAACTGTATAATGTATTTGCTTACGAATAATTGAATTAGAAAATGTTATACATAAAACTTCACACATAATTACTTTATATATACAGTTTGAATCGTGTGATTAATTTTTAAAAAATTACAACACAGAAACAAATACAACTGATGTGGCACCTCTATTTAAATTTACTTATGAGCAAACTGCGTAGTGGTGGGGAAATTTTGGCAAGGTCAAAACGCCATCACGATGAAGTAGTAGTATTCTTACAGTTTGGGCGATAGTGATTACGATTACAAATTATATGAAACAGTTACAACCCCCCTCCCCCATGGACCCCTATGTAAAAAAAATATTGTCATATACCACTGCTACTTATTTAAATCTATTTCTGTAATATATATTTGTGTAATATATATTTGTGTAATATATATGTATGTTTAGAACAGTCATCTAAAAACTGACGCTATGTTCACTCTGAGTTGGTTATTGCCCCCCCCCCCCACACACACACACCTCACCACCACAATTGTGTAGAGCGACATTAATGTCACACCTAGGTATACACTGGGTTGGATAATTGACCTAAAGTGACCGGACTGTGGTAAATGAAGTTGAACCCACCCCCTCCCCCCCTTCCCCCCCCCTCCCAACCCACCCGAACTGATCTGTTAAGTACATGTAGAAAAACGCGTAATGATGTACCAAAGTACCATGCCGCCAGAAAATTAGCTTTTTAAACGTAAAACTCTGTGAATATTGTTTTTGCAATTACCAGTAAAAAGGTGTGTGATCAATACAGTGATCTAACCCATACCTATCACTGTTTAAAAATGATCATTAACGAACACAAAGAAGCAGTAGTTAATTAAAATATATGATCTGAACTAAAAGACCGATAATTAGTTAAATGTAGCCTATTATTCCGAATGTTTGTCTATTGTATCGAAAAGCGTGGTTTTATACCAACTCTGATTTTAAAAACTTTCATTACAATATAACACTTTAGCATTTATGATAACGATATATTAAATTCTGATTATAGACAAAAACATTTTGTAAACACGAATAGTGTTAAACAATTTCATTATATTCTAAAGTAATTATTAATTTGTTTTGACATTTATAATTAAATGTGAAGATATATACATATTTATATTAAGAGAGTGATTATTTCCCCTATTTCACTTGTCTTAAATAATTTACCAGGAATTATTAAGTAAGAAATTTTTTATACAAGAATTACAAAACAGATTGTGTTACGTTCATTGTTTTTGGTTGTAGTGTGTGTATATTTTTTGTTTGCTTAGATTGATACAATTTTTGTTTAGTCGGCCTACATTGTGTGTGTTTTTTCTTATTTTTTCAGAGTGCTACTTTCAATTTATTTTACATCATAGCGAAGTAATGACATACAGCTAGTAACTATATATATATATATATATATATATATATATATATATATATATATATATATATATATATATATATATATATATATATATATATATATATATATATAATACACATATATAGAACGTGTTAAAAATTCGGCGCCTTTTTTTTTTGCTCTTTTCGCTCCCCTACAACGAAAACCTGGATACACCTCTGGAAGACACCCACGCTTTTCTTTATAGTTATTTAAATAGTAGTCTATAATTTATTTTCTACTTTTTAGTGCATTATTACATAAAAGTTTGTTATTAAAACGTTTTTTATTAATTTTTTACAAGCTATTATTTAACTTGCTTTCTCTGTCGACTGTCTGTCTGTCGTCAGTCTGTCTAGATCGAAACGCTCAAATTCGTTTAAAATTTGGCACGTGGATCAAGACATTAAATCTGACATTAAATTTGACTTAATTGGATGCCTAATTAATTTTTTATGAATTAATTTAAATTGTGTCCAAATTAGTAGGCATGCTTATCACTGTTATACGCGCGTTATCACGTTCATTAGGTGCGCAATAGTTTTTAGTCATGCAACTATTTTGTAAATATTGTAAATAAAAACAATGTAAAAAAAATTTATAAGGGGTCATACATAAATGACGTCACGCTTTTTAAACGATTTTTACCTCCCCCTCCCCTTCCCCTCCGTCACACTTCGTCACAAAAAGCCAGATCACCCTAAAATGACATCACACCTCAGCCTACAACACCCCCCCCCCTCAAAACTGTAGTTCATTTTTTCTTAAAACATCGATATTTTTCCAAAATCTTGTCTGAACTCTGTCAACATAGGGTATTTTAACCAATTCCTATTTCAATGTATTAAAACAGTTTTCTAAAACGCGAAATAGGGCTAAAATTCGTCGTTTTCTAACATTGCTTTTTTTATAATTCAATAGTGTGACGTCACACCATCTGAACTCTCACCCCCTCCCTATCACACACCGTCACAAAATTACGGACCCCCCCCCCCCTCTATTTATGTGACGCCTAAAAACGTTTTAATAACAAGCTTTTATATAGTAACTAGCGTACCCGACCCCCGCGCGTTGCCGCGGGGATAGAAGAAAGTTTGACGAAATATATTAGAAGGATTTCACCAACGCGTTACCAATCATATGTTCTTAGACGCGTGACCTTCTTTTCTAAAAATCAGTTATTTAAATGTAAACTTTGGGGAGTTCATAATAACACTCTAAGGAAGGGTTCTGTAAAAAAAATCATTTTTAATTTCGCAAGGGCGGCGCCACGGAAGGGTGCGATTTTTCTCTATATACGGTAAATAAAAATAATAAAAGTGAATTGCAGTGACACCGTTTACACGATCGCCATGAAACTTTGGGAATATGTTGAGAATATTTTTGGGGAGGTTTCTGCTCAAAATACATTTTCGAATTCGCAGGAGTGGCGCCCCGGCAGGGCACGATTTGTTTTCTCTCTATATACGGTATATAAAAATAAACGTCGATAGCGGTTTCACAGCGTTCATCCGATCGCCATCAAACTTTGAAAAGTTGATTAGAACACTCCAAGGAAGGGTTCTGTAAAAAAAAAAAGCATTTTAATTTCGCAAGTGCGGCGCCACGGAATGGTGGGATTTTTCGCTATATACGGTATATAAAAATAAAAAACGATTGCGATTTGACACAGTTTATCCGAGTGCCATAAAACTTTATGGGGTTGATGAATACTCCCGATAAGTTTTCTGGGGAGGGGGTGGAGAGGGGGGATTCAATTTTGCATTTGCGGCCCCCCGACGGGGATGCGATTTGGCGCCCTGGTCTTTCCAAAGAGCGCTATGGCGACTACGTTCGGTCTAAACAGTGTGATAGACAATGGATAGGAAAGGACGTTACAAACGCTCACTTAATTGAATCAGGCGTGTCCTCCGGCGCCCTGGTAGGGTGAGATTTTGCTGCAAATAAAAATTTCTGTTTCTGCCCCCAAATGCTCACATGGGCCGCTGAGGGACATGTAATACGTTTTATTTTAATAATCATAAAAATTAATCAATGTTAGATTATTAGCTGGGATGTTTCTTTTTGTCCGTAACAAAATCCAAACAGTTTCGTACCTTTGCGAATGATGCAATTGGTATCTATTTTTAGACGATCCAATCAGAAATTGAGATCGAGCATCTAATAATAGACCATTTGTAACGCTGACTTATTGCATCCGTCACACTGATGTTTAAAACAAGACAAATAATTTTTTTACGTGTTAAAGAAAAAACCCTGTTGATTTGTGTCGCTTTAGCGAATGACGCAATCTGCATCATTATTAACCGGATGCTATTTGGCACTCTGGGTTATCCTTGGAACACGATGGCGCCTATGTTAGTTTTAAGTAGCTAGGGGCCGTACGCGGCACCTCTGCGGTAGTGTAAATGAGGGCTCTCGAAAGCGCCCCACTACGTCCTAGACACATGGGTGGTCACCGAAGTGTATTCTACCACATTTTTTCGCTGAGTGATTAACGT